AATAATGGTCCACCCCAAATTCTATTTGATACACCAATGTAATAAAAAATATAAAATTAATCAAACTTCTATATGCATAAAAAAACAACAAAATGCTAAAGCAAATTCGAATCTTGCAAAGAATTCTAGCTACCTAAATCTTTAGTATCATTGAATCTCTCTCTTGCTCTTTAGAAGGATGCTATGGGTTTAAAGAAAAAACAATAATATTTTTCATTGGGTTACTCGTCCTTTAATTCTACCTATTATTTTGAGATATACTAGCTTTGAATTTTTTTTTGGGAGAGTATATTTTTTCTACTTTTTCGTATTCCTTTTTAAAAGGAAAATCATTGAAATTTTTTTTTTGGGAGAGTATATTGCTTGCATTTTTTCGTATTCCTTTTTTAAGGGAAATCATTGGTGAAATTTTTTATGAAATATTTTATTAAAACAGGACTCTTAATTTACTGTCAATATTAATCTTTAAACCAAAATTCAATAATATTAAGTTAATGAAGAAATGAAGTTATAGGAAATAATTTTTTGAAAAGTTGTTTTGAAAAAAAATAAAATACAGATTTATATCGGCTCTATTTAAAAAACATGATTTTTTTAAGATCTTTTGAAAAAATCCGAGTTCGTAATGGATTTAAAAAAATCTCAGACTTTTTTTAAAAAAAATCGTTTTATACGTAGACTTACTAACTATGGTATAAACCTATATGGAACCAAACCTAACAGTCTATGCATCCAAGATAATAGTCCTCAAGACCGTCCTTAAGGAACAGTGGACCACCATATCCATATAACCCGTAATACCTTGAATACTCAGATGATTAGACTAAGGGCAATCCCTCAAGAGGGATTAGTCTTAAGTCCAGTCAGCATGGCCAAGGTAACTCGAATGTCCAATCCTTTGAAACCCTTAGATTAGCCTACCCTAGCCGGGTTAACGTCGGTGGTTAGTCACCATCTCATCATTTCTCTTGTAATATGTTGATTTTGTTAATAAAATTTCATGAATTTTATAAATAAAAGAAAACACACACATATATGGACAGAGAGAGAGAGAACACCATAGAATCAAAAGAGTATTATTGCTTGTCCACTTTCTTGGGTCAAAACAGTTGATGCATGTGCATCTCACTGAGAGAGAGAACCAATCCAAGACAGAGAAGCATTGGCTTCTCCTATTTTGGAGTAAAAACCCTAATGTTTTTGTGCATGTTTAGGAGAAGGGGGGAGGGGGGGTTATTGGCATTGTTGGGTCAAACTGTATGTGATGGATGCTACCATCATAGATGGGAGTTGGTGGCTTACCACCTTGTGTCACGTGGCATACTGAGAAAGGGAGAAAGTGGAAAAGTGTCAATGAAAAGGCCCCAAAGTGCTTGGCCCATGATGATTCAGTCAGAAGAAGAAGCATTCTTTCTTTCTTTTCCATGGAATAGAAGGTTGACTCTCAATAGTTTCATGCAAATCTATGCTCTCTCTCTCTCTCTCTCTCTTGTGGTGAGTACAATGATGCTAACATGTGCACCACTGTGATAAGTAGATAGTGGAATTTTGATGGAAGGTGTCCAGATATTTCTATTGCTTTGGGATCCTTTCGAAATTTATATATTGTAGAGTCAAGAGAAAAACTATGCAGGACTTGTCTGCCAGCTCCTAGCTTTAGTAGAGAGAGAGAGAGAGAGAGAGAGCATGCAAAACAAAGGGAGGAAAAAGTAACTATGGCCATTCCATTCCTTGGCTTTATCTGGTTAATGAGAAAAAGGAGGATAAAAGACTTGGTTACCTCGTTTCCATTAGGAGATGTCTTCCCTATTGAATTACCCAACACACACATGCGCACACACTCATGAAGGGAAATAGTTTGATAAGGTTGCGGTCCTATCAAAATAAGTAAATCTCACCACATAACTCATCGAAAATAACAATTTTTGTGTTAGAAAACCTTTAAATGGATCATCTCGTTTTTTAACATTATGGTTGTGAAAAAAAAAAGATTTCAAGTCTTAAAAATAGTATATAATGTGGCAATAATCTAGATTGTCCATTTCGCGGTAAAAAAAATTGGTCATAGATCCAACAGATTTATCAACTCTTTCTAGCTTCAAATTTCCTAGGCGGTATTGAAAATTGATTTTCGATCCATCATGACAATTTCTAATGCCAAATGTACTTTTCATATGACGATTTGAGATGAGGACGGGGGCCTTATAGACATCAACCCTAACAAAAACTTGTCATAATACGAAACTCAACATTGAAAACTAACATAGCTAGATATCTCTCTCTACATAGTTGGATCGTTTATAGGCGAAATTGAATAGTGTTTCACTCCGCTATAGACATACTATGTCCGTAGCGGTTTGTCTTTAAAACTGCCACGGATCTATAAGAGTCGTGACGATTGCCCGTATTTTTTTACATAAAAAATTACTATGATGGACATAGTAGGTCCGTTGCGGTCTTTCAATCCATACCGTCCGAAAATGCTATTCATTTTCACCCATAAGCATTGTGTAGTGGGTTATATATATATAATCTTTTGTTTCATAGATGTCTTTCCCTCTTAATAGAACTCTTTTTTTCTTCTCCATTTTCAGATAAAACCAAGATGGTCTTAATACCTGCTTTCCTCCTTTGTTGCATCTCTCTCTCTCTCTCCCACCCCATTAGAATGGGTAAATGAGATAAACCAGCCACATTGTGTTATTTTTTAATATTTATTTTTTTCCTCATTGAAAAAGCGAGCCAACCATTAGTTTTTTCATAAACGTTGCCATCACAAAGGGCATTTCCATTGCTTTTTGGAAGAAGTTCCCGATTTTGTAATCTACCTGTCGCATTCACCAACCCCACTTTCTACCACCCCCAACTTCTTAAATAAAAACCTTCTTTCACTGTAGAAAATCTACATCCCCCCCCCCCCCAAAATTTAATATTCCTAACCTTTATAAGCATTAGTTTTTATATACCTATTGTGGTATCCCTTAATGTGATATCTGATTAAGATTCAATTAGAGCTAAGTCTCGAGTGGATGGATTTTTTTATTTTTTATTTTGATATGTTAACAGAGGGAATGGAGGGCGGCACGTTATGTTAAAGGCATCCGGCCCCCAAGTGGATGGATTTTTAGAGAGAGAATGGAGAGAAACCGGCCACCTAAGGAACCAGATTCTGGATAGAGGCTTTCAGTCCCCATTATCTCTGTGTCTATTGCTTTGTAGGTGAAACTTTTCAGGCAAGTTTTTCCGGCATACCGTTTCCCGAGAGAACTATGATAGGTCTAGAAGTCATGTGTTGCCTACATTCACAGACTCCAAATCTCTCACTTGAAGATAGAAAGAGACCTGGAATTTATCACACACCAATTCCACCTTTCCCTCTTTATGAAACATGGATAGATTCTTGGAATCTCTTTCTAAAACTTTTCTTACAGAATGTTTTAAAATATCTCATATGAGAAATTATATAAGAAATCTCCTCCCCCCCCTCCTCTCTCTCTCTCTATATATATATATATCTATATATATATATATATATATATATATAAAATGTGTTTCTCCTTGGATAGTTTTTCATTTTTTTAGTCCACTAACTCAACTTCCACCTTAATTTTCAAGGGTTTGGACTTTGAAGACCAAAAACATGCTACAAATCACCCCAAGTCCATTTCCAGCTCAATCCATGACTTTCGAATTCTAAAAATATTGTAGTTAAAATGTTATTTTAAGATATGAAATGAAGGTTCAAAAAGAAAAAATTATAAGATGGACCTTTGATATGGTTTAAATTTTACTTTTTTTACCCTGATAGTTAAAATTAGCAAACCTCAAATAATTGGATAAAGCTCATATGATGATAGTTAAAATGATAGACCTATATTGTTCTCTCTCTCCCCCTCTCTCTCTCATAATTCAATTCTCTCATTTGCATTCAAGAAAGTCCGGCCACTGTCAAACCAGTCTGGAGAGAGCTAAACTTGGAGAATGGACATGCTGCAACTAATTTTGGCCCACCAAAGAGCTAAGATTGGGATGGTTTTATTGTAGCTAAATTTAGTCATAGTCCCTAGAGAAAGCTTCCTGCGTCCCGCCCCAACAAAACAAACAAAGACAGACTTTTGCCATCTCACCAAACTGGGGCCATGTAACAGAGTGGAAGAACCCCATGTTATCCATGCACAATTTGGGGAAACTTTTAGGAAATTGGGGGTCTTGATAAGTTGAAGGTTTTGAAACTTCTCTGATTTTCTCAAATTTTGATGCGGCAAATGTAGTCCAAGTTGAGGGTTTAATACTCGGAAGTGTTCATTGTCATGAAAAGTTACACAAAATTTTACATTGACCGCTTACCTAAGAGAAGTACCAAACGCTCCCCCTTTATTCGAGCTTGAGATCAGCATTAACGGTATGGTCCCGCCAAGGTGGAGTTCAATACCCAAAGTGCTAAAGATCATAAATTGATTTCGTAGGTCGATTTCAAGTGCCTGAGTAACCAATATCCCCTTATTTCTGGCCTTATGCCTTTTTTACACTATTTATTAAAGTGAGGAACAAGTGTGGAGTTTCTTCATCTAACTCTTCTACCTCATTCAAATATACAACCACCAGTAATCAATATCATCACAAGTAGATCTTGCAACTACTTGACATCACCACGCTTCCCATTAGAAAGAGAGAGTTTCTATTACCTTCACAAAATTACAATTATCAAAGTTTTACCTCATATAAGGAACTGGATCTTAACTTCATAAAATATAAATTTAAAACCAAAGAGAAGAAACGAGCATTTTTTAGAGAAAAGAAAGAAACGGGAACTCATAATCTTCAAAACAAAGAGAACAGACACAAAAGAGAGACAGAATATGAATTCTTCATCACCTTCCCTTTCAAATCTGCAAATAAGATTAGATTACATCAAACCCAAACCCCCCCAAAAAAAATAAAAAAAGAGAAGATTTTCTTTGGATTCAAAGGGAAAAAAAACGAGAAAATCAGAGAACAAGTTCTTGAATGCTTCGTCTTCTTCATTATCATCAATGAACCAAAAAGTACATATCAGACAGACGTTCACCTGCAATTCAAACTACACTTCCCTCGAACAAAAAAGATATGAAAAGAAGAAGAAAAAAGAAACAAAACCAAATAAAGAGGGTGAAGCAAAATGTTAACCACTTCATCATCTTCCTTAATTACATGTACCCGTCAAAGAAAAACAAAACTTACATATGATACAAATCTACAACTCCACTTCAAATTACACCATCCAAAAAACGAAAAAAGAAAATTGATAAGTAACTGTAATCAATAAGAGAAGATAGAAACCCCAGAGAGAGAGTGTCATGCTTTCTGTCATTTAGAGAGAGAGAGAGAGGATGAGAGATCCTATGGTTTGTCTGCAAGAGAGGGAGAGAGGTATTTTGGGGTACACAGAGAGACAGATATTAAGGTTTGCTTACTGTTTCCACAGAGAGTAGCCCATTAGAGAGAGGGAGCAATTGAAAGTAATCCATCAACATGAGAGCAAAAGCAAGAGAGATGACCTCAAATTCTTGATCCAAAACTTCACCTCCCATGCCTTGCATGACCAGGAACACCAGAAGACCCACTCTTCCCACCCATCTGATAAGAAGAGGAAGAACCCAATAACCTATTGCTTTGTTGCTGTTGCTGTTGTTGTTGCTGCTCAAACATCATCAATGGCACACCAGTATACATTCCCCCATTATACCCACCCCCATTATTGTTCCCCATTGGATTGCCACCACTACTGTTACTATTGGCTCCATTGCCCCCACCTCCCTCTTTCTCACTCCTCCCCATATTGCTCTTCTCCCCCTCCATCTCTCTAAACTTTTGCAGGTAACTCTTCAATGGCTCAACATACTCTTCAAACCCGAGAGTGGTCATGGCCCAAAGCAAATCATCCCCATTAATAGTCTTCCTCTTCTCTCTCTGACATTTATCAGAGGCTTCCCCTGTTATGAAGCTTATGAACTCGGAGACGCATTCTTGAACTGTTTCTTTTGCGTCTTTGGAGATCTTTGCATTTGCAGGGAGAGCTTTCTTCATAATTCGGCTCACGTTGGCGATGGGGAGGAAGCGGTCTTGCTCTCGAGGAGAGAATTCACTGTTTCCCGGTCCGCTGTTCATCTGGCCCCCCGATTCGTTGTCTGAGTCTGCCATGGATGCAAGTCTAGAGAGAGAGAGAGAAAGATGCAAATGGGGCAATTTAGGAGAGGGAGGGAAAGATACTATGTTAGAGAGAGAGAGAGAGAAACTTAAGGACTAGAATTTATGGTGGGTTTTAGACGGGAACTTCAGGACTCGAGTTGTTACTGATGGGTTTTTCTGAGAGAGAGGAACCAAAATCCAAACACTGGAATTCGGTGGGTTTTTGGCGTAATCCAGAAGTCTAGTTTTCTCCGGTGGGTCCAACTCAGGTCTGATTTTTCCAGCGAGTTGCAGAGAGAGAAAAATTTGAACCCGAACTAAAGGTGGGTTTGTGTCTGAGAAAACTGGTTTTTTGCCCGAGTTATTGAGAGAAACACTGATTCTTTACCAGAATTTTCGAAGGCCAGCCCCCTTTTGGCCAAAAAAATCAGTGTTATACTGGAATTTCTAAAAGAGAATAGTTTTTTTGGACGGAAATTTTGGTGGGCACTCCTATTTTGGCCGGAAACTTTTACAGGGACTGGTTTTTTGGGCGGAAACAACGGAAGAAAGGCTTTTTTGGCTAGAAATTTTGGTGGATACTCCTTTTCCAGCCAGAATTCTCGAGATAGACCGGATATTTGGCTGGAAATTTTGGGGGGAAGTCCTTTTCCACCGAAAGTTTTGGGAGGGACTGGTTTTTTAGCCGGAAATTTTGGGGAGTAATCTTTTTGGCCTTAATTTCAAAAGAAACTAGGTTTTGGCCGGAAAATTTGAACGTCCGGCCTGCAATTTTGTGGATTAGACCAATTTCGGCCGGAAAACTTGGGAGCTTTTCTATGTCTTTTTGAGGCGGCGAATAGAGGGGGCCTGTGGGTTGCAGAACGGGAGAGGGATGGTCCGTTGGATCCTGAAGTAGCGGGGAAGGCGGTCTGACACGTGGAGCAATTTTCGGCCGTTGGTTTGTCGATAAGTGTTGTGCCGTTGGAAGGTTTGGGGTCGTTGGATTGGGAGCAGTAGGGAAGATCTAGGCCGTTGGTCGGCGTACTACGTGTTCGGACGTGATGGGGGTTCTAAATCGGGTTGAGAACCGGTCGGGCAGTGGGAGGAGATAGAACCTAGAGAGAGAAAACTTCCATGCCTGCTAAAGGACCACACTTGGAAGTACCTCCGACTCCCAAGCACTGTTAGCAAACTAGAACTCGAACTCGAACTATAACGGTTAAACGGATATGGCTCCTTCAAATGGTTTAACCGCCCTAATCCCGGCCCATTCAACCATTCTATCCGGACAAGTCCCATGCAGTCTAAAAAATCTATTAAAATATAAAAAACCATAAAAAAAAGGGAAATTATATAGAGCCGAGGCTGTAAACAATCAAATTAGAACCTACCTCAAAAATCTCACTAGAAGAGGTTGTTTTGATATCCAAATATCCTCAAATTTCTCATCTCGACATTAAGATGCATGGACATGAGGAAAAAAAATGGATTTCAAGTTTTAGAAATAGTGTATTTTGTAAAGCATTTTTGAACGGTCAATTTTCAAGATTTTCAAGTTTTCATAGATCTGTCGATCAACACTATTTTTTAAACTTTAAACTTTATAAATAAAGATGAAAATATATTTTAAGGCTATCACAAAAATTTCTAGTATTGAATCCACAGTTCGTGACATTATTTGAAGGTAGGCTCTAATTTGATCGTTTTGAGCTTAGGCTTTATACAAACCGCACCCTAAAAAGTATAATTAAAACAAAACACAATCAAATGAAGTTGAAAATTAATGAAAAAATAGATTTCAACAAATCGATTTTTGAATTAAAGTGAGTATTAATGACAAAAACAATATTTAATCTTTACCATCATGTAACGAATATTAAAAAATATATTACAAACTAAATCCCTTATTGTTGGGAATTTATATCTGTTTTTTTTTATTCTTTTTTTAAATACCGATCGACCACCAAAACCGCCCATAATCGGAACCGCCCATTGGCCGGTTCCAATCTAACCGGGCGGTTAGCAGTTAGATCGCCTAATTTTTCTAACCATGGTCTCAAGTGACTGTCTCTCTCTCCATCTTCTGCCCCTGACCACCCATTGGCCCTGGCTCGCCCCGGTTCTGTTCTTTAAGAGTTGGGCTTGAACCAGCCATGGCCCTATCAGGGCTGAGCCGGGCTTTACCCGATAAACTTAAAGACCCAACGTAAAAAAAAATAAAAATTTAAGGCTCAGGCTGGGCCAAACTAGGGCAGTCCTCTCTTGCTTTAGCCTATGCCTCGCATTCGAGCTACATTCTGTGGCCCAGGTCTTACTTTTTTTGGGGTCAGGCCGACAGAGTTGGCTAGTCCACTTGTCCAGAGAGAGAGAGAGAGAGAGAGGGGTATTGTCCACTTGTCGAGAGAGAGAGAGGGGCTGTAGTTGCATACAAGTATCCACTCATACAACTATCCACTCATCAGCTCTTTCAAAAGAGAGTGTGAAAAGTTGCTGGCTGCTATTATAAACCATGCCAAGCCTAACAGTCATGAAAAGGCATTGTACATGAGTTTCTCTCTCTCTCACTAAAAGAACACAACCGTGTAAATAAGTGTAGCAGTTTTATGATTCAATCCCTTTGTGCCTTGCAGAGAGATGCAACCGTATTTTTTTTTTTTTTCGGGTGAGATGGTAGGAAGAGGGGTTCTACTTATGATAGGAATTGAACTTTTACAAATCGTGAAGCACTAACCAATTAAACCCGGGCTCATTTCCTACTAAGCCCTAGCTCTTTTCCTAATTCGGTAAATGAGTGGGGGTAACAGCTGCTCCCCTCTCAATTACCCTCATGACCTTCTGAAAGAGTCTCATAATCCGTTTTATACAATGTTGAAAAATTGTACTCCTTACGTGTGATGGCCATGTCAAGGATATCGGATTATATACTATCCAACCTACTTATCTTGGGCACCAAAGTTAAAACCACCCTTCTTCGATGTTAAATTTGAAATTTGACAGCCCGGATTGAGTCTTTGATTTTAAATAATAAAATAAATAAATTCATTAAATTATGCTAACATCTTCCTAAATTAGTATTATCCAATGTTAAAAAAATGGATTGGTGACAGAGATCGACGACCTCAAAACTGTGTCAGATCGGCGATTTGGATAAGTACTGGATCACCCAGTTTTGGCCTAAAAAAATTTCAAAAAATAACTAAAAATCTTTTAAAATAGTGTTTTTTTTTTATTTTCAAAAAAAAAATAGAGGTTATGCATTATGTACTTCTATTATTTTACAAAACTTAAGAGTGGCTTGTTTTGTGTTACACAATAGTTTCCCTTTCAACTACAATATAAGAAACCAACTCTCACTCTTTCAACAAACATAGGGATGACACAATTTACTGTGTTTTAGGTTAGGATTGTATAATGTTTCAGCCTTATGCTGTTGAGGAAAGGTTCATCTAAAAAATCCTATAGTGGAGAATGTTGCCACATAAGAGGACATTTCAACTGAACATCTCGGCCTTGAGATGAATGGACATGAAAAATAATAATATTTCGAAGTTAAAAAAATAGTACATCTTGTAAAAAGTTATCTAGATCATCTGTTTTTAAGATTTTCAAGTGTTCATTGATCTACTCGATTTGTACTATTTTTAAAATTTTAAATTTTCTAACTGAAGATAAAAAGAGATTTTGAAACCATCATAAGATTTTCGATACCAAAACGACATCTCTAAGTAAAGTTTATAAGTGCAACTGCTTTCAACAGTATAAGGAGGAAACCTTATACAAACCTCACCTCTTATGTTAAGCAAGATTAGCAATGAGTTCCTTCTAAACTAAAATGACATACACATCTTCTCACTCAACTGACATGGCAGCAACCATCTTTCTCTCGCTCTCAGTTTAGGTGTACATCTAACTGTCCTTGTACAAGTATACTAATAGCTAAAACCAAAATACCCATCTTGCAATATTGCATGAAAAACATCTATAATTAAAAAATCAATATTTAAAAATATGAACTTTTTAAAGTATGGTAATAATGTAATCTTGATCGTGCTAGCATAGACAGGTTCGAAGCAATGACATCATGATGAACAATGAAAATTGATGAGAAGGTATAATGAGAATTAAAGTCTCTAGAGCTTATTTAGAAAAGAGTTTATATGCTACAATGCCAACCCTGAATTTTAGGCATTAGGTCTCATTTAACTCCACCAACAAAAGCAAGTTATTTGTAGATGGAGGAAATCGAGGTTTAAAATACAAGGCCATTGAGCCGATAGAGAAAAGAGGCGTGGATTGTCCCACATCAAGAAGTGACAGCCGCTACAAAGGGATTAAGGCTCAGGCACCACCTCTCTTTTTTAAAAAACAAATCAAAATCAGAGTCAATGCGCATGCACAAATTCTTCCCTCGCCCCACCCAAAAAAAGTTCAGCCAGGAGCATTTTAAAAAAACTTATTTTTTATTTTTATTTTTTTAAAATTGGTTGGCAATTTAGGCTCATACCACCGAGAAGCACTTTTTGCACTTTATTTATTTTTTTGTTTTTTTCTTTTTTTTTGGCTATGCGACACAGGTTGTGGCGACATGGGTAGTGTTGCCCAAAGACAATTTTTTTCTTTTTCTTTTTTTCTTTTTTCCACCTTTGCCCTGTTTTGGTGATATTTTTTATTTTTTATTTTTTTTTTGTTTCCACTGCCCCAGTTATGAGGTATTTTATTTGCTAATCTTTACGTGTGCAATTGATTTAACGAGGTAGATAGGGACACTTTATTTGCACACACTTTTCATACCGAATTTTTACAAACTCAACCCCTTAGTTATCGGATTTTTGTCCCAACATTCCAGTTAATTGACCGTCATACATACACGGGGATGAGTTTGCCTCTTTTTGCCCAGGGGGATCCTGTTGAGAAAAAAAAAACTCTCGAACTAACCAATGTTGTCATTGACGAGGTTCACTCATCTCTGATATGTGATAGTTGGCAGTTATACTTATACAACCATGGAGTGTCTGGCTAGTTTCAAGCCTTCATAACAGGTATAGGAAGTTGGCTTCGAGAGCGACGCTAGATCGACTAACTATTTGACCTATTGTAGTGATGGAGGAAGTCATTTCTATAAATGAAAGATTTTTTAAAATGGATGATATTAAAAGTCAATTTGAAAAGCATTTTTAAAGAGGGACAGATCTTACAATTTTTGCCACCTGTGGCCCCTTTGGTGGTCATTTTCTTTATTTCTTTTTTTTTTCATTTATTTAAAGATGATGAAAATGATTTCCTTGTGAGATGTGAGGACCCAAGAGACTTGACATTTTCCCTTGGCTTTAGGAGCTCCCATCTTGTGTTTCGCAAAGCCATGAGGAGTTCTTTGGTTCTTGCTGGGCCTCCTTCTTGGAGAGGTCTCGACATTCTTCTTGCGGTTCATTGAAGTCTTGGATCTCCAATTCTTGTTGTCTTCCCATATCTTCCCGATATTGGTTCTGTTGAAAACCTGTAGGGATTAGGAGAAGTCTTCATCCTCAGGGTCTGCTTATGCAATATTATTGTGACTTGCAAGCACTTATTTCATACTTGAGATTTAGGACTAGCGCCTCCCTTTTATATGAATTTTTTTTTTTCCCGTGACGTAATTTTCGGGCTTTCACCACATCCTTTATTATCATTATTTTCTTCTTTTTTATTTTTTTTACCCGTGATGCCTTTTCAGGTTTTTACCACGTCTTTTTTTTTTTCTGTTTTCTTTTTTTTCTTTTTTTTTTTGAGCCCGTTACGGGTTGTATTTTCTGAGATACATTGCATTAATGAGTTCGTTGAGTTCATACCCCTCATGATTTTTTATTTTATAAGAATTGCCTGCATACACT